TTACTTTTTTAAATATCTATTTTTAGATCTTTGATTTTAATCTTTCAGGCGCAGTATATTTAACAGGAGCTTTAATACTAGCTGGAGTTTTTAAGGTTTTCTTTTTTGAATTAATGGCTTTGCTACTATTTATAGTTAATATTTTACATTCTTTACAAATGCTTGACTCAATTTGTAGAATACTACATGTAGAAGGTCTGAAATGCACTGTTTCATTTGTAGGACCATCATCACATCTTTCATCCTCAATTGAAAATAGTTTGCTAACAACATGTCTCTTTACAAGCAAAAAATTTTCTATTTCATTGGATGATATTCCATTGCACAGATAGAAATGACGAATGTGATTGAGAAATTGTGATATCATGGTGTATCGCACAGATCGTAAATTACTCTTATAAATTTGATGGGTGTCTGGCAAAAGCCAACCATAAGCTCGAATAGTATAAGCTAGACTTTCATCCACATGTAGCTCAATTTCTGGTATGAAATGTTTCCCATCAATAACTTTAAAAAACACATAGTTTTGTGAAGTTTCAACACCCATGTAGTAAATGTTACTAGTTTAATTTTTTTTAAAAACTGTTCAAAATCAAAATTAATTTTTATCTACTTTTTTACTGTCGTGTAATGCTAAAGCCATAGCTCGTTTGTCAAGAGCTTTTTTTTTACGATGCACAGTGAGATCTTCACATAAACTTTTTTTCAATAAATATCAACACTTATTAAGCACACTTACAGGTGTATATATCTGAATATTCAAAATGCTTTTCACAAACAACTGATTTCAGCTCCACTCCAGTATATTAAACACATTTAATAAACTAAAATGTAACTGAAATAATATTTTTGTTTACTTCTAGAAGTTTAAACATGATAAAAATTTCAGAGTCTCTAAAAAGTTAAACCAACGATACAAATTTCGACAACTAGAGTAATGAAAAGAATTTATAAATTGTAACAAGCACGATTGTTCGACGCACAACTAAATTTATCTGAACATAGTAACAAGAATAGATCTTTTCTTGTGACTATAATCTGAACAAGTTTATTTTTATGTCTTTAATGTTTTGCACTCCAAGAGATCTGGGTTCTAGTTTTTTCCGGTACAAAGAGATAATATAATAAGCTATTGTGCGCTTCCAGACTATCTATTCTTGTGGCTATGTACATACGTAATAAATCTAAGCCGAGTATTATTGAGTTGTTCCACACTGAGTTCATTTAGAAAAAAAAAACATATTGCCTCGAAACCCAATTTTGCACTAGTCATCCTGAACTAATATTTAAGGAAACAAATAATAAATAACAAGTATATATTTAGCACTTATAATTCAATAACTTAAATATTAAGCAATAAAAATTTTGTGCAAAACCATTATTCAATAAAACCATAAATTCTTTTAAAAAAATTATAAAGAAAAGAAAAAACATTGTAATGAACAATAAGCAAACTTGATAACAAAGGCTAAAGAGAATCGTAGAAAAAAACTAAACATAATTATTAAATAGAAATGTTTTTTAAATGGAAAAGTAGTTTACTTAAGTTGTAGATGTTTGTTAAATCATTTTTATCAATTTCAAATTTCTCCATGCCCAGATATTCAAGTAAGATAGGTGAGCGTTTCACTTTGTTAAAAAACTCGTAAACAGAAACAATTTATATATACAATTATTTTTTTCTCGGATTCTTCAATATATAAAACAAATATATTCCCTTAGCCGAGGACACGGGTTTTAAAGTAGAGGTCGTTCGTTCGTCTATTTCTAAAAAAAGTCCTCTCTATCTAGAAAGTTCTTTAAAAAAAATAACAACAAACAAACAAACAAACAAAAAAAAACAAAAAAAAACGTGTCGTTGGATCTGTACCCTCAGCACGTACGTCAGCAAGTGTCAACAGAAATCACGATGTACGTCAGCAAGTGTCAACAAAAATCACGAAGGCGTTTAGTATTCTTCACTGTTGTCTTAATTTATTAAACTTAAATGAAAGCAAATTTCTAATAAATAAAACAGTTTTTATAGTTACACGCCATTTTTTGAGATAATTAAAGGAAATAACATCTTTTATTAGGTATGTGACATGATTGAGTTAATATTAGATTGTTTTACATCGGTGGAAAGAGCATTAATAGAGTGGAAAATTAAAATTTAACAAATCAATAAAAATCTACGTTTTAAGTGAATAATTTTGAATATATGAAATTGTTAAAGAAACTGTGGTCAAAATTAACGCAAATTGTTTTAACTTTGTCAATTCTTGTCGAAATGCTTTTTGTCAAAGAGATATGTTTAAGAGTGGGGCACAAAAATTTTGTATTAGCAATTAGCCACAGGACGTGGCCGGGGGCTAGAAGGGTACTAAACTATGGCTTTTACCGCCAATAAATAGAAATTTGTTCACAATTAAATGTTATTTTAATGTAAATTGTAACTTTTATACAATAGAAGTTTTTATAATTTGGTCCAGATATTAGAGATAAATTTTTGAGTTGGGGTGGATGATGTGATGATTGTTTAATGCAGTAAATCTAGCATAAAAAATAAAATTTATAATTTACAACTTTACGACATATACTAGTGGTATATGTTGTAAAGTTGTAAATTATACCTCTATCTTAAATAAACATTTATGATGTTTTAAAAAAGTTCAAAAATGAGATTTTTCAAAACTTGAGAAAATTGTATAAGCAAATATTTTATTCGTACAAGATGCACCAGTGTATCCATTTTCTCGGGAGAAAAAGCGTGCGCTAAAAAAAAAATTAAAATGAGATAAAAAAGTTGTTTTAGAAAATATTACTTAGAATTATAGAAATTATTATAAATAAATAATTTAAATCTTTACAAGACAACATTTAAATTCTTAGGGAAAAAGGTTGTTTGACACCCTCCCGATCTAAAAAAATTTAAATTATTTTAAAATACACATTGCAATTAATTTGTATCGGCTTTCAGCAAATAATTAAAATTTTAATTCCACTAATGAAACTAAATAATAATCAGTTTCAACAATAGACACTACGTGAAAGTAACCCAGAGCCGCCTAAAAACAAATTGTCACAACATTTACTTTTTTTACTCTTTTATCTCTTCTTCATCTTCTGGGTGTTGCGATAGATAATTTGTGTAACTCTCATACGTCAAACCTAAACCAAAATATCAAAATATATCTAAAAAAATCAATATCTCTAAACTATAATAGAAATTTTTTTGTTATTTGATAATTAACTTCTTAATAAAACCATTGTCCAAAAATAAAATCTCCTAGTAACACAAATCTCCTAGTAACACAAATCTCCTAGTAACACAAATAGAATGCATTAAAGGTTAAGAGTAAAATTAAAAAAGAAACAGAGCAGTTAAGAATAAAAGTTTTAACATAAACCTTATAAGAATTTTTATTTGTAGATGGATCTTAAAAGGTAATACAATTAAACAAGTTATAATAAAAAACAACTAATAATAAAAAAAACACCTACAAACTTTATTGGCTTTCTTTCAAAAAGTTATAATATAATCATACCAGTAATACCAGTTAGCTACTATCAAAAATATGTTTCCAAAAAATTATTAACATTTATATTATTTACTAATCCATTATTATTTCTATAAATAAAAGACTGTAATAAAAAACCCAAAAACATGAAGCTGATATTTATGCAGCACCTTTCCTTAATTTTTAACTAACAACACCAACACTGCATAAAATTATTTATAGTCCACCAAATAATTTTAATAACTGTAGTATAAACTTTCTTACTTGTAATATTTCTTACTTGTAATCTAAAGATTCATATTTTAATGAATCTAAAGATTCATTTGAAAAGACTAAGAATAACTTTGAAATAACAGGGAGATAGAACATCAACACTCAAAACAAAACACAAAAAGAATATAATTGAATTAAGTTTATTACAGTAACCAATCTAATAAATAAAATAATTAGATTTAATTTTTTTTTAATATTAATTTTAAAAAAAGCAACACTATAATAGAAGTAACAAAAAAAGCGCAACAAATTCAGCCAAAAATATCTCGATACTAAAAACAAACAGGTAAATTCTTAAATCAATTTCTAAAAACATGAATGCTGACTTTGATGAGTACTTTACCTAAAAAATTAAAACAAATGCTAAAATATATAAAAAATATTTAAAGCATGTTTATAAAACAAAAAGAATACTTTGTTAAATAATCGTTCCATTGCCCTTTTTTTTCAAAAAAAAGTAACTTGAAATAAGTAGTTAATGTCAACTAAAAACATATACAATAGGGATATCCAATTTATCGGTCATGTTGGAATTTTATTACACGGTATGAGTCTAAATATAAAAGTACCATAACAACTGACTGTAACTTTTGTGTGTTTGGAAGACGACTACTGTTTGCAACGATGATTAATTTTTTAATTTGAACTTTTTTTGAAGGTTTTAGGGCGTTTTTAAACAATTAGCGCTAATAGAATCCATCAACTACGATGAGAAAAAAAACCTCCCACAGTAACTAAATAAATTTTGTTAAAAAATAATGAAACAAGAGTATTTAATAATTAATCAGGTTACATAAATTATTTTACAATTATAGTTCTAATAGCCAAAAAGTTTAAAAAAATCAAAGTTTGGTATTTCCATACTTTTTACAATAAATTGCTGTATTTAGAACTTTGTGATAATTTTTTGATGTAGGTATAAGGGGGTTTTCTCACAGTAAACACGCTGAAAAATTAAAAGGTTTTTTGCCTTTACTAAGTTTTTACAAATATTTACATAAATTTTTATTGCGTTGCGTTAGTGACGCCTAATTGTTTTTTTTATTGCGTTTGCGTTAGTGACGTCTTCTTGTTTTTTTGTCCGAATATCAATCCCACAATAACTCGTATTCTTAAGAAATTCTTTTTTTAAGAAAAATGTTTGTCCGATTATCAATCCCATCATTCCTTTCGCTTAAAACACTATTTTAGTTTCTCAATTTATAGTTTTTAAAGCATGAAAATATAAAATGTTTGTATTAATTATTGCAAACTCCTTTTTTTATGTAAAGCTTAAAATAACATCAAGTGTAATGAGTTATATCCTCATTCAAGAATCTGGAAAGGAAAAAAAAAAATAAAGGAATTCACAAAAAACAACAATGTTCCTAAAAGATCTACTCATAGAGAACGGTTCTTTGTAGATTCTACCTTAGAGAAGATGAATAGAAACCAGCTTCGTTTGAGAAATTACATTATCTAGTATTATCTGTTTCTAAAAAACAGATATCCAAAAATGGCGGCGAAACATTTAATTGCTTATCTTCTTTCAGGCAGAACGTTCAGGTTGATTTTTATTGTTTACATCAATATCAGTACGAATAAAAGTCATGTATTTATATCCCTTATACGCTCTTTAGATTTCATTGATTAAAGATAATATTTTGTGTGATTTTTGTTGTATTTTTTCTGGAATTCTGTTTCTATGGAGAAGAACTCGTTTCAGGGTCATTACTGATAAAAACCTGATAGTTCAAGCTGAGAAGTGTATACAAAAGTACATAAAAGTAAAAAAGTCGCAATACAAAGTGGGAGTTGGTAATGACGATACTCGGAATAAATTTAAGAACTCTTTAGAAGGTATTAAGCTAAAAAGAAGTGACGAAAAAGGAAAAAACTCTAAAATATTAGTCAAGATTTACTTTTATCAAAGCTTCGTATAATTGTTTATATCCTAAAAAATATCAGCATTGTTACAAATTGTTTTATACTAAAAACTTTATTTTGAGTTTGTCCCTATTGAATTTTTTTAAAATTGTTTATATAAATTGTAATAAAAATATCATAAAGTCCTTATTATATTTTAAAGTAACCCACCTCAAATTATTACAAACATTTGATACAAAAAATATTTTTATAGGCTTGTTTTGGGCTGGTAATGCCATTCTACACAAAAGTTTGGAAATTAACAAATGTATGCTGGCTACAGACAAGCCGGGAAATGGTGATAGGAAAACTTGATGGTTGTTTTGAGCTTAGTTAGTTAGAAAGCCAAATCAAAGAAGAGTCAGAAAACCTTTTCTGTACAGGAAGAAGCAAAAAAATCAGCATTTTACCTAAAAATGAAGTAAGTTTAGATAGTTGTGATATTGAGTGTACTGATCAAATTTTTTTCTTTTTTATTTATTTTAGGTGCTCCATGAAGTTCTTACGTTCTTATCACGGAGCACCGCGGAAGAGCATTTGGAAAAAAATTTACGTCTCCTTTCTTACCGATTTTATAAAATTTGCCCAGAGATAGCATTAAACCACGGACCTCTAGTTTCTTAGACAAACACCTTAACCATTGCCCTTTGGTTGCTCTTTTGATGAAGATTTTGAAATCCTTCAACCTAAGAAGAAGAAAGCTGATAAAGGTCAGGTACTTATTTTCCCTATAGATATAATGTCAAAAATTACTAGAACAGCAATTGGAATGGGTATTTCTTAAAATTAAGCAAATGCACTTATTAGTTCTGTTGTTAACAGTTTGGTAGAAATATTGATAATATTACTGTCCCTCAACTCTGGTCAAAAAATCTTTAACAAAATCATACGGGAGGATGGAGTTGTTTTGAGATCTAACTTAAGAGAAATGGTTAGAAACACTGACAAACCAACTGTTTTACATTTATATGGAAAAATCATTCAAGATTTTACAGGTGATTGTAAAAGACCGTCAGCTGTCAACAGATGATTCAAAAGAACGTCTGTGTGTCGTTAAAAGATGCAACAATGAGACTTATCTTCTTGGTTTGCCAGACCTGGACCATCGAATAGGAGAGACACAATTTTCAGCAATTCAGAAGTTATTGGATTATTTTCAAACTAGCGAGTTCTTTCATATTCTATGCTTTCACATTACATTACTATGCATGCACAAGGTTGACAAAATTTCATGGATGAAAATTGCTTATGTTGGCTTGCAGACATCATGTAGGTGAAGTTCACATAAGGCATTTTTATAAAACTGGTGCAATTCAAAAAATTGTTGGTCCCTAGAGTCCATTGTTTAAATTCTTAAAAAAGCACCGGCATGAAATTAACGCGAAGTAGGCAAAGGATTCAGTCATGTTCAACCAATAAAAATTTAGTGGTAACTAGGTGGAGGAGCAAGTTCGCTTAGCACTACAAACCTGAAAAAACCATTAGAACAGTGGTATAGTGAGAAACAGTTAAATAAATTCAAGTTGAAAAAAGCAAGCATTACTCATTGTTACACCTGTAATACTGTTTCCAAAAATATTGTTATTCTTTTTTTTAAGTAGACATTGGATAAACGTGTCAATTATAGTAAAATAGCTGAGCTTGTAACTATATATCCTGAGAATTCACAAAACTGGAGCTATCTCACATGCAAGCTTTATGGGCCATGCTCTTTACATCATGAGGTTTAAGCTACTTCTGACACAAATTAGACAGGTCATTATTCTGAGTGAAGACATTTTCAAATAGATTGCTATTATTGCTGATTATACTTCTTTGTTCTGCGATCCATGGTTCTTGACAAGCGAGTTTGCAGATTTCGCTGCCAACTTATTAAATTGACAAACAAACATTATAATAAAAATGTTAATAATTTGAATAAAAAATCTAAAACTATTTATAGGACCAGAGGAACTATTGGCAGATGTGCCACAATACTAACTTTGAACCCGCAGCCAAAGTTGTTTTAAAATCATAGCAAAATCATACCCGGTACACGGATCCTACTACAATTGTAATGTTGCCAGCCTCTTCTGACAGTGAAAATTAAAAGAATATGGAAGATATGGTAAAGATTTTATACTAGACAGAAAGAGATAAACACAACAATTATAAAGTTGCGAGAATCAGAGCAGTTCTTCCAAATATTTCTAGTGGTTTGATGCATATGTTTCTAAGGACTCATGGTTAATCTTTACTATCCTGGGACATAGTATGGAAAAATGCATCTGGCTGAATTTTTATGGCATTTTGAGTTCCAGAACTTTTTCAAATCTGTTGATGAGGTCAACGTTTCATCCGAAAGAGCAGTAAAACTCATTTAAGACAATGTGGAGCGCGTTACGAGTGAAAGAAAACTACGGGATCTGCCCCAATTAAAGAATGCTTGGAAAATACCTGGGAAACAGTTAAAAATGGGCGTACAAGAAGTCAGCTACTGCCGTCGCTTTAACATTGGTTGTTTCACAGACAGTTTTTGTTGCTTTGCATCCTCTTACTTCAGCTGGATATTCCCCTAGTGATTCCAACTTGTAAAATCCTCATCAAGTTTCTAAGACACTTCCAAGTTTTAATTCATTTTAAAAACAGTTGTTTTGAAATATATACTTTTTTATCGATATACTCTATTTCATTATAACATCATATTTTAGTAATTTTTCAAAATTTATTTCTAATAGATAGCTCTTTTATATGTACAAAATTATCAAATATGAAATACGCTTCATATTTGATAGTTAGGACTAAAATAAACATTTTAACATAAAAATTAAATTGATTGGAATACAGCTACTATTGGCGCCAACAGTTGAAACATAATATTGATCAAAAATATCAAATAATAAAACTTGGCGCTGATACTTCAAGTCATCCCTTTCATAAAATTTTTTTTTTTGTGTATATAAATATCACATTCGTGCCAATCATTTTCAATACCGTGTAATAAAATTCCAACATGACGGATATCCTAAATATACAAATTATATGATAATATACAAATTGTATAATAAAATTCCAACATGACGGATATCCCAAATATACAAATTATATGTTTTAATAAAAAAATACTTTGAGTTTTGTTATATACTTAGGTCGTTAGGAAAGTTCGTAGAACTTCCTTATAAAAAAAATAAAAGAGTTTTTTTTAATTTTATTTTATTAAATGTTCAAAATAATGTCCATCATTATCTATACAAAGTTGCATCCTTTCAAGCCATTTGTGAAACGTTTTTTTATAATCTTCTTTAAGTATACTTTCAAGTAGCTTCGTTTTGCGGGTTTTTTGGCTTTCGAGGTCAGTATCGTCATCAAGATTTTTTTTATCAAATCAAATAGCCAATAATCGGATGGAGCTAAGTCTGGTGAGTATGGTGGGTGGCGAATCATTGTAACTCCAGCTTGGTTTAGACAATTTGTGACGATTTGAGTTACATAGGATCAAGCGTTATCAAGAAGAAATTTGAAATTTTGAGTACCCGTTTTAGGTCTTTGCTTATTTAATTCGCATATAAGAAGTTTCAAACAATTTTTTATATAATATTCACTAGTAATAGTGTCTCCCTTTTCAACATAACCCAAATGAACAACACCTGTTGTTTTGAAGAAGATGTAGAACATGCTTTACGGCTGAAACATATCGCATCTTACTATAGTTCTTGGACGTTCACCTTCACCGACCCAACTAGTGTTAGCTGACTTGTGTCCAACTTGTCTCAAATAAAAGCATGACTCATACCCTGTAACAATATCGCATAGCCTCCATGGGCCGTTTCTTAAAAGGGCTAAAGTTTCCTTATATGCCTCAACTCTATTCTTTCGATTTCCATTGGTTAACTTGTGGGGTATCCAACGTAATATTAGTTTTCTTTTTTTTAAGTGCGTTGTGAATGATTTCGTTAATTGTAAAACGATTAATTGATGTCAAGGCTTTAATTATATCATGTGTTGCATGCGGATTTTCTTCAATAATGGGTCGCACACGTTCAATATTCTCAGCTGTATACGTGGTTTTAGGGTGCCTTGAGCGAGGATCATCTTCAAGAATCTCTCTACTATGTTTAAATAAAGTAGCCCACTTGGCAACTGTACTATATTTTGAAGCTTGGTCACCATGAACTAAAACCAATTCATCAGTTATGGCTTGTGCTGAAACTCCAAGTAGAGCACGAGTTTTAATATATGCTTGATATTCAATTTTTTCTATTTTTAAATTTTTTCTTTCAAACGCATTTAATAAAATTTAAATAACTCTTTAAATAAACATTCAAAATATTTCAACAAGTACTTGAAATGTTCATAATTAAACACAGTTTAAGATGATATATAAATATTTAATTATTTCCAGTCTTATTGTAACTTTATAGATGAAGTTCTACGAACTTCTCTAACGACCTAAATAGTTATTATCAGTTGATTACAAAACTCAAAATGTATTTATATTTTTATTTTAATATAATATTATTTATTAAATAATTGAAATGAAATCAAAAACCTTTACTTTCTCTTTCCATATAATCTTTATTATTTTTATGTTATTTTTCTAAATTTTCTCATTGTTTTATTTATTATAAATAATATAACTTTTCACTGTGCTCTCCTGAGACCGTCTGGGTAAATTTTGGTTTACTCTAATTTTATTTTGAATAATTGTTATTATTGGGTTTGGTAAAGATTTTTAAAATAATTTTAAAAATCTAAACTAACTTAAACGTATATTTTAATATAAAAACAGTTATAACCAACAATGTAACATATGGGGAGGGGGTGGTAGGTATCAGAGTATTTCCTCCAGACCGAAATTCCTCTGGTAAAATTTCTTCTTTTTTTAAAAAAAAATAAAGTTCCGAAATTTAATAATTTATTTCATAAAAAAGGTCATTTTTAAAAAATTGAAAAAGTATTAGATTTTATAATTTATTACTATGATAATATAAAATTTTAAATTGTTATATAAATAATAATAGAATACTACTATTTCAAAAATTTTTAGTTTTAATCCTTTTCTATCCTTCACGTCAAAAGTGGGAAAAAATAAATTTAGGTAGCTATTCTGCGATAAAAAAATAAGGTATCTATAGGTAATACTTTTTTAATCGATGAAATTTGATAGAAGAAATTTTGATGAAATTGGATAAAAAATAGGTATAAAAAAATGGAGAATGGTTTTAAAAAAAACAACCTTCGTTGTTAGCTTGATGCAAGAGCTTAATAAGTATACACAAAACATGAAAAGATAGCTGAACTCTTCTTCATTTTAAAAAACATGTAGTTCAATATAACTTTTGAAAAGAAATGCCACAAAAAAACGTTCGTGCTACATAACTCAAATACACACTTCAGATAACGTGGCACAGAATATTAACAAAAAATTTGGTTTCGTAATACGCGATTTTATGATAAGGTTAATGGCACAAGAAGGTTATCCAATAAAAAATTTTTTAGGACATTTACATTCAATTATATTTCATGCACATCTCGTTAAATTTGTATTATGAGTTATACCAGAAGCACCAGAGTTGATCATTTTGTTAATTTGACTAACCATCGCTTTCGAAGCTCACATAAAGTTTTCAAAGCTCACATAAAATTTTCAAAGCTCAAATAAGTTTTCAAAGGCTGGATAATTTATAATATTAAATAAAGTTCCAGTTCTAAAAACAAATTCACCTTATAATTGTTAATTTTTCTTGATCAAACTAACAACATTTGTATACACCCAGCGAAACTTCCATAGTCCCACTTACAATTCGTTCATATAAATGAATTTTCGAAGTATTGCATTTTTTTTTAAATTTATTACAGGAATTATTAGGAATAATTAAATAAGCAAATAATATTTCAATTAAAAATAATTATTAATTTATTTCGTAAAACTTATAAGTATTATTTCAAAAAAGCTTGCGAAATTTTTATAGTTCCATCAAAAGTTAACTTATAAATTTTGTTTTTAATAATTATTTTTTATTACTTCAGTATAAAAATATACTTCAGTATTCAATCAACTCGAAGTATTATACTTTTTATAAAATTTTCGGAACAAACCTTTGAAAACCATTCCATGCTTGTCGGATAGAAGTTTTACGTTCTTGTATCGTACTACACTGTCGAGAGTTTCCATGTATAGTTCGTGTTAATATTCCCCATAAATTTTCACTAGGAGTCAAGTTGGGTGAACGTGATGCCCAATTTAAAACATTTATATATTTTTCTAGAGCTAATGTTTTACATTTTGTGCCGTGTGAATCGCCTTTATGGAAATTGCCTATATATTGCCTTTATGGAAATTGCAATTTTTAGTAGGTAAAACTTCACTGAACTCGATTAAAATATTTTCTAAAAGATCTTTGCAATTTTTTTTCCACATCTTCAAATTTTTTTTCACAGCTTGTTCTTATGCATTATTTATTGTTTATTTCCATATTACTATTTATATATGTCTAAAAAACATAAACTATATTGTTATATTGATGTACATTAAATTGGGGCTAAACTATATTGTTATATAAACGCTATTGTTATATTGATGTAAACATTGGGGCTATCCCCCTATAAAATTTCAAAATTTTTAATTTTTTTTTTTAATTTTAATTATTTTAAACTATGTAGACTCATAAAATTTGTTTTAGAAGTATCAGATTAACCTTTAACTATCTTAAATTGTCTATTTAAGTTAACCACCTCCTAAGTGATATCCTTAGCAACCCCATAGTAACGCACTTAAACAATTCCATACATCATACTTTTACATTAATTTCATACAAAATAGTGTTACACTTGCAATGCATAAGCTTGAACTACTTATTGATACGTTTTTCCAATACCTTGGTACATCAAGTACGACAATATTCTTCAGTACAGTCAGTTCTTGAGATTTTATTAGGTTTGTTTAATCTAATGATATATTATAAACTAGATGTCTAACTTCGATCTGAAAAGTGAAGCCGCTTTTTTCCCTTTTTACAAATGGTGGATTAAATTTGAAATAAAATAAAAACAAATATTTTTAACTTTATATGAAGTAAATATATTTAAATTTAAATACTATTTACGTAAAAGTGTTAAGCGGAAATTATAATACTTGTATAATAATTTTTTATGATTCCTTAATTTATTTTCGATTAAAAAAGGGTTAAAAAATTGAATAGAAAAGTAAAACGACAGACGCTTTTGAAGCATTTTTATGAATTAAATTAGTTTTTAACAAACATAAGCTCGTAAAAAAACTTTTAAAAGTATTTTATAATTACTAAGATTTGTTTTTGAATGATCTTTAATTTATTGGGAACTTTTGACTTGCGTTTTCAACTTTTATTCCGCACTTCGGCTTCAGCTTTTGCCCTTTTTACAAATGGCGGACTACCTTGACCGCAATGATATTTTACAAATAGCGGTATTGTTATAAACAAAAAAAAAGCAGCTTCACTTTTTATCCAATAAAATCCCGCAAGATAGACATCTAGTTATATAATTGGTTTAATCCCGCAAGTTAGACATCTAGTTATATCATTGGTTTAATCAGTAAAAATTGGAAAAGTTTGTCGGGTGAAGAGATGTACACAAACTCATAATAAAAGGAAAAAGTTTATGGCAAATGTTCAAAACTCTGTTAATACTAATAATG